GTGAAATTTCCTGGAAATTTTGCTTGGCTGCTCAGAATTTAATGCTGTCCTGTAGGGCCCATGTGCTCACTCTCAAAGTTCATGAATGTTACCCTGACGGAGAGTCTGGATTTCCTTACCAGCGGGGTATGGGTTTGTGACTCTGGTAGTGGTTCAGGATACATGAGCACCATGTGACGCAGAGGTGGCTGCGAGCCTTTGGGCCGCAGCAGCGATTTTCAGCGGGTGTGTGGAGAGCGTTCAAAACACACATCTGGCTCCTTAGTTAAATGCACTGGCTTCTTTTCCTTGGATTGTCAAATTAAAATCGACAACAGCCAACACAGTAGCTGTCCAGAGTGAATGCCCTGTCTTGAACTATGAATGTATGTGTATACACAGAGGTCATATAATAGGGTTGCATCTTATTGGTCACGATGCGTAATCAGGCTGTGTCTTGGTACCAGAAGTCCTCATATACAAATATAGGCACCTGCTTTTTTATAAAGTCACTTTGGAGCAGAAAGGGTTGGTTGCTATTATTACTATTATTATTATTACCATTATTATTTTGGTAAATCAAGAATAAACCTTTTTGTCAGATTGGCAAAAAGCATTTTCTTTCGTGCACCGCAGAATTTTAGTAACTGGTCTCTGTGTGCCATGAGGTGGAGAAGGTGGGAAACCGCGGGACTAAGTACAGGTGGGGAAACTTCGGAAAGACCTGAAGCGGGCTCCGTGCGTCCCGCGGCTCCTGTGTCGTTGGAAAGCAGCTGTAAGCAGCGTGTGGTGGCCGTGGCGCACCATGTTCTGGCACACACTAATGCACGTCAGCGGGCGGCAGCCAAACTTGGACAGCACCTTGTGGTCCAGGACTCACTTGCTGACCCTTGGACTAGGCGATTGCCAGAGCCACGTTCCAAGTTAATATTCTGTAAAGATTCCAATGCAAGTTCCAGGTTCCTGGGGAAGGTGAGGCAATCGTGTAAACCTAAGTAAAAGAGTTGGGTTCATTCTAGATCCTGAGTGGACTCCTTGCTGAGCATGTCTAGTACAAGGTTCACGGGGGCCCACAGCCAAGGGCCCTGGCCGTGCTGCCTGTGGTGGCCGGCCTCTCTGGGTGGAGCCCTGGGCTCACGTGGGGTTTGTTCTCGCACTTCTGCTCCCCGTGGTGGGATGAGAAAGGGCGTGGGAGGGACAGAGGCTGGCCCCATCCTCGTGGTTTTGGGGGTTGGGTGGCGGCTCTCTCCAGGGCTGTTTCACCAGCTGCACCCGGGCGGCAGGCGGCGGGGGCTTACGTTCTTGTTCTGCCTCGTTAGGTGTCGCCATGCCTTGCTTGGAGCACCCGCCTCTGTCCAAGCACGGGGTGGCCCCTGTTGCCGCGGCCGGCGCCGCCGGGAATCCTGTTTGTTTTCCTCTGCCCGCCTGGTGCTTGAGTGATGCCTCCCTGAGTTTCTTGCGCAGCTTTTCCCTGTTTACTAGGTGTCGTCTTCAGAAAAGAGGCCTCCGCTTACCTCTAACACCACCGCCTCCGTGGGTTTTCCCCGAGCACGGGCCCAGCCCTCCGCCTCTTGAGGCCCAGGCTCCCAGGAGCTAACCTCTGGGACCACCTTCCCCGCCGTGCGCCCGCCTGCCGGGGTCAAGCAGCGCCCACACGGAGAAGCACGCGCCGTGCTCTTTCGGGAGCAGCCCCTCCCACGGCTCCCGCGTCCAGTGCTCCTGGCCAGACTGGCGCGCAGGGGGGCGACTGCTGTGCGAGGCAGCCACGGCCTGGCCACGCGCCCTCCTCGCTCTCCCTCTCTGCACCCCCTGCTCTGGTGTTCCCACCAGCGACCTTAAATTAGGGCGTGCCCGTGTGCTCTGGGGACACAGTGTGTCCCTGTCAGAGCTCCTGGGTCCTGAGCGTCAAAACCTGCCCTAGGGAGAGATTTTTGTGTCCTGGTACACCCGTGTGCCGAGTGTGCGAGGCGCTGGAGCAGTAATTGTTGGATAACTGAAAGGCGCAGGTTTCGTGACCTCAGCCGATGCTAGGCGTCGTTTCTGTTGCTTAATTTGCACTTCCTTGTTTTGGAATAATTTTATAGCCAGTGCTTTTGGACATGTTATGTGTGTTGGCGGGAGGGAGGACTCTCTCTTTGGAGAAGTATTTATTTTAATCATTTTTGCAAGATCCTGGCTTCTAATTTTGACTTCTGTGGAATGGAACTCACTTCAGGCACTATAATGTGGCAGGACGGTGGGGAAGCTTTCTCTGGAGTTTCTGCTCTGAGGGGCAGGGGTTGGCCGGGGCTGCTGGGGTCCCTGGCCCTAGCTGTCTGCAAGAATGCCTGGGAGGCTTTCACAAACAAGCAAGCAAACGGAAAAAGAGAGCCTGCCTGCTGATCAGGAGGGGTGGGGCCAAGCGGGGCGCAGTTTCGGGCGACCTGTGTCTGGGCGCCGTCAGCCAGCGCGGCATGGGGGCGTCCTGGCCGCAGCAGGAGCGGGGGCTGCGGTCTGCTAGTGAGGCCTCTCGGGGGCGGTTGGGACTCAGTGTGACCTTCGTCGCTGGGCACTGGTGTGGCAGAGGCCGTGAGCAGAGCTTTTTGTTTGGGGTGTTACTGCGGATTGGGAGTGAGCCCTGCCTCAGGGGGCTACGGGGCGGGGCGGGGGGGCAGCCGCACGGAGGCCCTGTGCCCGGCTGGCCTGGCCGCGGCACCCCCGGCAGGAGGCGGGGGGGGAGGGGGAGGGGGACAGGACGGGGCCTTCGGCTCCCTGGCCCTTCTTGCGGGTTGCGCTTGGGCTGCTTGTCAGAACAGCCCAGAAGCACATTTTGTTGGACCTGCAGATACTAAAAAAAAAAAAAAAAAAGCTGAAATTAGTAGCTTACATGTAACAGGGGAAAAAAGTTACAGTCATAGATTTCCGTCCAGTACTGGTTTTGCTGCGTCCTGTGTCTGAAAGTATTTTCTCATTTTCCTAGTTACTTCTTCTTTGACCTGTTGGTTGATGAAGCGTGTGCTGTTTAATTTGTACGTGAATATTCCAGTTTTTCTTTCATTATTGATTTCTAGTTTTATTTTGCTCAGACACTATGCTTTGTACAGTTTTGACCTTTTGAAGTTTATTAAGAGTTGTGTTACGGCCCAGCGTGCGTACTGCATCGTGGCCCGTGTGCCCTCTTTGGGGACTAGACGGTCCCTGTTGCTCTCCTTTCAGCCCATGGGTCCCCTGCCTGCTCACATGTGGCGGCCAGCCCCGCTGGTGAGGTATCCGTGGCAGCTCCCTTTCTACTCCAGAATCTCCTGTGGTTCTTTCTAATAACTTGTCGAGATTGTCTACTCGAGGCAACGTTGTCATCATGCTTTCCTCTCGCTCTTTAATGACCATTTCTTTAGAGTTTGTCCTGTTTTGTTTTCATCTGTCTAGTTCCCCCGAATTGAGTCATTTCTTGAGTGACTGAGTTTCATGCGATGTGTGCCTCTAGGGTCGGTTGCAGAGGCCTTGAACCGGCATCCCGGGACCGGCCGCTGGGCCAGCCTCGCCGGCGGCGGGCGGGCGCAGCACGGGCACCCGGTGTCTTCCGTCCCTGGGGCTTCCCGGAGCAGCCTAGCCGTGCGGCAGCGTGGCAGGGGGCTGGCCTCCTGCCTCCTCAGAGCCTCGCTGCTTCGTCCCAGCCCCAGGCTGGGACGCCCTGGGCTCGGTCGTGCCTGTGGGACCCGCTGCCCCGGGGGCCTCTCCGGGGCCGGGCGGGGGGGGGGGGGCGTCCGCGCCGCTTCTCAGGCCTCCGTGCCGCGTGTGCGTGCCTGCGGTGGGAAGCCGTAATGCCGGCTCTCTGATTGCTGGATAATACAAGTAAATTTAAAAACGAGATGAAATGCGCTGTGTGCACAAAATACATACTTAGTATGGAGAAGATGTGAAGTATCTTATTTGTGCTTTTTGTACTGATTACATAGTATTTTTTTGGGGTATTCTGGGTTATACATGTTTTAAATAATATGTTTTAAAATTTTATTTGATAAAGTTTTTTTACTTTTTAAATGTGGGTACTAGACAGTTCTTTTTATTCCCGCCTGAGGATATGTTTATTGATTTTTGTGGGGGGGGGGGACGTCATTGTGAGAGAGACACGTCAGTCAGTTGCCTCCCTGTACACGCCCTGACTGGGGATCGAACCTTCTACCTTTCGGTGCATGGGACGATGCTCCCGCCAGCTCGCCCACCCAGCCAGGGCTCTACTAAAGAGTTTAGAGGTACAGTTGACCCTGGAACAACTTGGGTTTGGGTCACAGGTCCACCTGTACACAGATATTTTTCAATAAATACATAGCTGGCAGTCCGTCTCCTGCGGTTTTGCACCTGCAGATTGGACCAACCATGGGTGGGAAACAGCGTTCTCAATTTGTGGTGGGGAAGCAGCCGTTGCAGAGGGCAGGCGGCGTGCACGGTGCTAGGCGGCTTCACGTAAGGGGCGTGGGCTTCCCTGGGTTTTGGTGTCTGCAGGGTTTCTGGAGCCGGTCTCCTGTGGACACAGAGGGGTAGCTGTTATGTTTTGACAGAGGCCACAGCTGCGCGTGGATTTTCACCTGCGCTGGGCGGGGGAGTTCGGCGCCCTGCCCCCTCCGGGCTTGGTGAACGGTGCGTGCGGCCTGTGCTGGGCTCCATTGCCGAGCCCCTCCCTACACTGTTCCAGCTACTCCCTCAGTGAGCATCCCTGTGGGTCGTTTGAGAAAAGGTGAAGATCACAAAAAGTGTTACAACTGGTAGCCAAATTAGCAATTTTTCCTTTTGTGTAGTTGTACTAAAAATATAACTGTGTTCTTTTAATGGTCTTTTATGCCTAGTCATGTTCAATAAATAGATTCTTTCAGTAGCTTTGTACTGTAAAGCTTTTTAAGTATCAAAAATGGCATAAGTATTTCAGAAGAGTTCTACAGGGACAGTATTGCACCAGAAATCCTCAAAAGAAAGGGGTCTTCAGGATCTGAGGGTGTGGAGGTGGGCTCTAATTGGGAGACTGACTTTTGTGGCCTCTCTCACAGATGACGACTTCGACCAGTTCGATAAGCCCGGTGCGGAGCGGTCCTGGAGGAGGCGGGCTGCGGACGAGGACTGGGACAGGTACGGTACGGCCCCTGCGCATGTCGCGTCCACGCCGAGGCACCTCCTGCTGCCGCGTGGCCATGCAGAGGCCTCCTCTGGAAACAGGGCGGAGGCCTCCGAGGCCCTGCCGGACGGGTTGTGGGGCGGGCGAGGGCGGGCGCTGCGGGCAGAGGCTCTCTGGGGGCCCGGCCGCAGGTCTGTCCTGTCTGCAGGGGCCAGCAGACGTGGGCCGCCTGGCCTCCCCGTGTCTCTGCGCCGATGGTCTTGGTGCGGCGGCCGCTCAGAGCCACTCCCGGAGCGCTTCTGCGCCGGGGGCCCCTGCCGTCCTCGTCCTGCCTGGCGTTTGGCGGACTTGCACATTTTTGCCATTTCAATGTGTATACCATGCTATCTTGCTGTAGTTTGTTTGCGTTTCCCTGATTCCCAGTGAAGCTGAAAACATAGTGCATACGTGTTCCGAAGTGCGTGTGTGCACGCACACGCAGGAAGTACAAGGAAAGTCTCCGGTGATGACATGTCCGCTCGATGCGGCGGTTAGTTTTGGCGAGGGGCTCGGGTGGGGGACGCGGGAAAGGTCTGTGGGACAGCGTCTGGGAGGCGGAGTTCGCAGGTGGTGATGCTCCTGTCTGCACCTTCCATTTTAAATGCCGCGTTGAAAACGTGAACGTGGCTGTGGATCGCGGTCAGAAAGTTGGCTGTAAAGGCGACCCGCTCTGACTGTGGAACAACAAGGGCGCCGCTGTAAAACAAGGCCCGGTTCCTGTTGGAAAACGGGGGTGTCGCAGAGGCCTCACGGGGTCCCCTGCGCTGGAAATGACTTCTCCCAGCCTCCATAAAGTCACTGCTCGCCCGCGGCTCTCACCTGCCCTTAAACACCACTCGGACCTTCGACAGGGGTGCCACGGGGGGGGGGGTCTCACCCGGGGTGGGGGCGGGTGTGCTCGAAGGCTCCGAGGGGAGCGGAACTTAGACACAGCGTGCATTTTAGCGGCGCGCTTAGCCATCCGGGTTGTCCCTTCCGTCCGTGACCTTTTCGTAGCTACGTGCTTTTTTGGGGGGCTTCTCTCTTTTCACTGATTTTTAGGGATTCTTTCTACTTTGGGAAATTTGTGTTGTGCTCATAGAGATCTCCCAGTCTGGGGGGTGTGTTCCCGTGAACAGCAAACAGGCCCTACATAGATTTTGTAAGTAATACAGTGAAATGTCCAGCCTTTTCCTGTGTGGTTTGTGTATTCTTTCCTATTAAAATACGAAAGCAAGCATCTGCTGGAAGAGCACAGCATCTCCCACCCGCCCTCCCTGGCCTTCCCGAGCCTCTGTCTGGTGAATGAGCCGCCCCTCATGCTGAGCACACGCGTGTGCACAGTGTGGCAGGCGGCTGACAGGGCTCCGTGCCACACAGAGACCGCGCTCTCGGTTACCGAGACTTACGTGCATGTCCTTGTCAGCTTTATTTTTTCATATTTCAATCTCTTCACTTTTTGCATTTTGATGAGTATCAAATGCTCTCAGTAGTCTTTGTTTTTAATTTTCGTTTTAATGAAAAACTAAGCTTAGAGGTCTACTGAGAGCCACCTCCTATAGCAAAACCTCTTGTTTTTAAAGGACCAGTGCTCCCTATATACTTGAAAGTAAGTTTTCATTATTAATAAAGAAAAGGGAAAGTATAGCAAACATAACGTGGAAGTTCCCCAGGCCCTAAAGTCCTGGGCAGATTTCCCAACTACCCCCAGACTTCCCAGTGTCATCAGTTGATACGTTGTGTGTGTGTCTCTCTCTCCCCAGTGAACTCGAAGACGACTTACTGGGAGAAGATTTGCTCTCGGGCAAAAAGGTAAGAAACACAGGTCTTCTTGCAACTAGTAAACGGGAGCCATTTAATCACACTTAAAATACAGGAACACTCACACATCTTCTTTACGGGCTGCGTTACTGGAAAGTTGGGCATAGATTAAAATTTTGTGAATTAAATTATTTTGAATTATTTTTTAAGCACACCCAGAGCCGTTTGATCTGTTAATAAATTCCTCAATCACTTACACCTCACGCAGCAAACCCTGTCATAACCCCCGCCACCCAAGGCGCCGCAGCAGGTGCCGAGTCTGTGCAGGGGACAGCTGCGCCACTGCCGCGCGCCCGAGGGGCTTGCCTCTGGCGCTCGGACCTGGAGTCCCCTCTCGGGCGCATCCAGGGGCGGCCTGGCGGGGAACGTGCCCCGACACGCGGACGTTCAGGTGGTCGTGGCTCAAAGTCTGAACCTAGTGTGAGTTTCTCTTTTGGATCGACCAGAACCTTTGAAGCTGTTACCTTGAATGCGTATCTGTTTGTGTAGTGTGTGTGCATCGCTCTGCCAAAATACTTTCAACATTATGAAACAGACATTAAAAATAGAAATAAGAAAACAAGGTTTAAGTGAGTTAATAATTTTTTATTTGCATTAATTTTATTTACATTAATATTTCATTAACAGTTTGAACGCACTTGCAATTCTTGTTACATATTGATAGTTTTTGTTTAACTTTTAGAAAATTAATTAATTTTAGAGAGAGGGAGAGAAGCATCAGTTGGCTGCCTCTCACAGCGTAGCCCCAACTGGGACCTGGCCCACAACTTAAGCATGTGCCCTGACGGGGAATCGAACTGGGGACCCCTTGGGTCATAGGCTGGCGCTCAACCCACTGAGCCGCACCAGCCGGGGCAAGATAGTTCTTGCTTTAATTGAAGTATAACCGACATGATATTCTTTATGCTGAGTGTTTTAAAGTTTTAAGACTGAGATGGCTTTTTACTCTCAAGGTTTATAGTCAGGCTTTCACTTTTAGATGATTGGGCCACATCATTTATCCAGTTGGATTAGGCTTCCCTTTTGCCCTCATTTAGTTGATGAGCTCGCGCTGGGAGAAGCGCAGTTGTGCCACCTGCGATGTGCCATGCCTCCTGACAAGCGTTGTCTCCGACGGGTGGATTTGCTGTGGGACTCTCCTGAAGTCGCGCTCCTCCCTGTGTCCTGCTTCTGTGCTGCTCCACCGGCCTGCAGGTGGCCTCGGGCAGGCTTGCTCTGACCCTTCCTCCCTTAAGTGGCTCTATCGCCGTCTGTAGCTCTAAATGAGAATCTCTTCTGCTCCCTGTGGTCCACGTGATCTCACATAAGCGAGGGGAGCAGCAGGACTGGAGGTGAGAAGCCAGGAGGGAGCCCCTCGGCCTCTGGCCTCTGGGTGCCACCCGTGTGTCTGCCGCGGGCACCGCGACCGCCCCGCCTGAGGCGCGGTCCCAGAGGCGATCTGTGTGCAGAACCCTGAGGCACTCTCGCTGTTCTTGGGAGCCCCTGAGGCGGACCCAGTTCTCCTTTGCAGCCGTGTAGGGTGCTTCAGTGAGCATCTTACTAAACGCGGCAGCGTTCACGTCGGTAAAACGCCGCACCCGAAGTCGGCTCCCTGCGCCGGGCTGCCTGGTGTGTCACCGGTGCCGCGGCTCTTGGGGCGGCCCGCTGGCCCCACAGCTAGCTCCCTGGGGGGGTGCGTCCTGTCTCCTGCGAGTGCCCGGCAGGGCTCTGGCCTGCCGGTGAGGGTGGCAAAGCGCTGTTGGGTTTGGGCAGGAATGTGACTGTTCTGGGGACGTGGTCTTCCTTTCTGCAGAGCCAGGCTGGCGGGTCTTCGTAGGCCAGGCACATTGCAGGTGGGGCGGCGGGGTGTGCGCCCGTGCTCTCTGACGGCCTCGTCCGCCCTGGGCATCGCGGAAGCGTGTTTAGTTTGTAATCGGTATTCCTTTCTTTCCTCCTTTTTCTAATGTGAAATGAGTACTTCATACCTTGTGAGAATCAGAGTTCAATAGTATAAAAAAATAAATGATGGAAAAAATAGGTATAAACCTTCATGACTGACATTTTGCCGTATTTCCTTTCATTCTATGTTTCATTGGTTTTAGAGAGAGAGCGGGGGCGGGGGTAACCTCTGTGAGTTGCGTCCCTACGCTGGGGGGGGCGTGGCTTGAACCCACAGCCTTTCGGTGCACAGGGTGATGCTCCAACTGAGCCAGTCAGCCAGGGCTTCTTTTGTTCTTTTCCCTGCGCTTTAAAATGTACTTTACGTATAAAACATGGTTTCTTTTATATCTGTCATTGCATCATTGGCGTTCCCTATTGTCACTAGATGTTATGTTAAGGCCCTTTACAATGGCTACATGCTGTTCCCTTGTTTGTGGGTACCACAGCATGCCTAGGCGTTCCTGTGTGCATTGGGGTTGTTTCCAGCTAATTGCTTATGACTTTTGGGTGGGGGAAACCTCTTTAATGGAAAATTTAAAGCCTATACAAAAGTAGAGGGACGGTGCAACGGGACCCTCAGCGTTTGCCGCCTGCCTCAGCAGCGCTCGGGGGACGGCCTCACCTTCACGCTCGCGCTCGCACGCCCTGGATTGTTTCAGAGCGAACCTCAGGCGTTACAGCGATGCCCAAGTGTGTGTGCTGCGGAAGCAAGCGCAGCACTGCTGCCTAACCGTGCACACCTTGCTGCGGTTTGAGATGCGATTCTCAGGTGCTTCCCCTAAAGGGGCGTCTGCCCTGAGGCTGTGAGCAGTTTGAGCTGTCGCTCCAGGTGGCCACGCTGGTTTCCAGAAATGTCGCACCTGTCCCCAGCACTGGCGTGGGGGTGCCTTTCACCTTTCATTCCCCAGCCTCGGTGTCACTTAAAAAACGATTGTCACCGCGGTAGATGAGAAATGGCGTCTGGTCGGCTCCCTTTCTGCTCGTGTGATTGCTAGTGAGACGGACGGTCGGGCCAGGCGTTTGTCGCGGGTTTCCTGCAGGCCTGGGAGCGGAGCCCGGGCGGTGGGCACGCTGGCTGCTCGCCGGCCTCTGCTCCCACGAAATGTGCCGAGGTGTGACCCGGCCTGGAGAGGCCTCGAGGCCGCTGGGGGCCGGGGGCTGGTGGCTCGTGGCGGCCCCTTGCACTCCCTGTGGCAAGTGTAGCAAAATACGTCAGCCTGTCAGACGCAGCTTGAGGGCAGGCCCTCCTGCGTTGGGGGGACACGTCAGGTTTTGAATGCAGGATGAAGACAGAAGGGCGCGGAGGGAGGCTGCAGCGGAGGGCGGCTGCAGCGGCCAGCGGGACCCAGTGCGCGGCTGAACAGGAGCGGGCTGCACCTGCGGGGCTGCGCCTCCTCCTCCTGGGGCTTCCGCTGCCCGTCGCCTGCGGCAGCCGGCGCGGGCCGGCGCTCCGCTGGGCTGGGGTGTGGCTCCTGGGCGTGTGCCCTGCTGCCCCGTAGCGGTCCCCGCGTTCCTGGGAGTCCTGGAGAGAACCTCTTTCTCTCGTGCGTTTCCCGGGGTGGGGGGTGGGCACACCTGGCTGCCTGGCATGGCGGGGAGGAGGGTTTCACGGGGGCGCGTGACCACGGTCCCTTGTCTGCTGGGCTCTGCTGCCCTGCCTCCGTTGGAGTGCCCCGAGCAGAGCCCCGCCGGCCTCACCATCCCCCCAGTTCTCTGGGAGGCGGATGGACATCCACGTCGGCCTCAAGGACGTGGTCTCGGCCTCCGCGCCAGCTCTGCCGGCGCAGCGGGCGCTTGGCCCCTGCCCCTGGGTCTGTCCCTTGCCAGGGTCAGGAGCGGCACAGACAGGGATCTGCAGACCTCGGGAGTGACATGTAGTGCCATTGGGGTCTGCTGCCGCTCAGGGGCCTGTTTTTTTGGGGTGAATGAGTCGTTGGTTCAAAGATTTTTGACAAGTAGCTTAAACGTTCAACTAAAAAACTCAAGGAAGCAGCCTGTTACTGGATGAAATTTGGCTTTCACTGAAGTGTCACTTTATAAAGGTTTCCAGAAAGCAGTTTAGTGAATTGGGCAGCTAGACCTAGGTTCACCGGTGGCAGGCGCCGCTCACACCTGCTAATGACGTTCCTGTGCCTCAGAAGTGGCGCAGCTGGGACGCTGACGTGGGGGCAGCTCGGGGGAAGCCGACTCCGACTCTGGTGAGCAGCCTGCCCCGTTTCCCGCAGCTCCAGCCTCCCTTTGAGTAAACGTGTCTGTTTTCACCTTACTCTACTGTCAGCGATGAGGCGGGGTCCCTTGGGACTAATAGGAACTGCTAATAAGACTGATACAGGTTTGCCCTGTTTGGGTGACTCCGTTGTTTGTAATATAATCCCGCACACCAAAGGCTGAGGGGTCGGTCCCGATCGGAGCACGTGCCTAGGTCACAGGTTCAGTCTCTGGTCAGGTGCGTGCGGGCGGCAGCTGGTAGATGCTTCTCTCTCACGGCGCAATTTCTCTCTTTCTCCCCCTTCCTCTCTAAGATGAATAAGTACATCCTCAGGTGAGGATTAAAAAAATGTATGACTTATTTTTGGTTTACATCAAAAATACTGTAATGGAGAGTATATAGACAGGTATGAGGGAGCCTTGTTTATAAGCTATAAAAATGTGAGGAAAGGGCTGCTTCCTTGCTCCTTTGTCTCGGAGCAGAAGGCCAAGGCTTCGCCCTCCTCTGTGTGGGGCAGGGCCTTGCTGGGGTCGTGGCAGTTTATACGCCCTGGAAACCCTTCTGGTTGGGGGGACACGTCCCACTCCCCGTCTCGGGTGCTGGTGCATAACTCACCTGAAACCTGGGCCTGTAGAGATCTGACCGGGTGACCGAGTCACCAGGCTGCCTCTGAGGCTGACGGTGAGAGCACAGAGGCCGCCAGGGCGGCCGGGCGGGACCAGCGCGGTCCTGTTCATTTCACGTGCTCCCTGGTGACAACCGTAGGCTGGTCCCCTGTCACTTCTGTGTGCTGGTCTGGTTGTCTAAAATGCGCTCATTTCTAACACCCTACGCTTTCTCTTTCTCTTTAAAAAGTCTTTAGATGTTGGGTCTCTAACAGTGTTAAATTTAGTAAAGTCTTAAGAATGCCATTTTACGTGTGTGTTGTGTGTGTGTGTGGGGGGGGAACACATTTTTGTTGGATGTCATCAAAGACTTCCCCCTCCTTTTTTGGTTAGAATTAGATGAATATGGTCATTATGCTTGTTGCTTCTATACCTACTTGGCTTTGCATCTAAAAATTGGCCTGGGGTAGTTGGCCAGTGTGCTCTGTGTGGGGTTCCTCAATTTTGTCACTGGTTATATAGCAAACCACGAAAACTCCCTGAATGGGAAACGTTTTAACAAGGTTGGGAACAATCCAGGCAACGTGGCATTGCGCCTTTGTACAAGCCTTTTTATGGGAGTGACGCACATTAATGAGATTTTTTATTCTAACTAGAATCAGTCCGATTTGTCCGATGAAGAGCTGAACGATGATCTTTTGCAGAGTGATAACGAAGAGGAAGAAAATTTCAGGTACTCAACATTAACTCCTTAAACTGTTGTTTATTTCGCTAAGTTGATGAGAGCGGTTCGTGATTCCCGGCTCTGCGGGCGGTCACTGCGTGTGGCACACCGTCTGGACCACGCGGCTATATTCGAAGCGGGGCGTCGGTGTGGCTCTGCTGTGAAAGCCATGCACAGCCCTGTGTTCAGAGCGGCCGTGTGAGATCCCTGCTGGCCACGCACTGCACGGCCCCCCGGCTCGGGGGCGTGCAGGTGACAAGGGTGCTGCTCTGCGCGCAGGTTCCTTTGCCTGCGTGGCAGCAGGGGCTCTGGGTGCACCGTACTGGTCGCCGCTGTCTGCTGCCGCCGCTCCCCTCTCCCCCACCACAGGCGTTACGTAGGTGCAAGTTATGCCTGGCTCTTCACCATTCGGCAGTTGCCATTTTGGAAATTCCTTCGGTCGTTACCTTGGAGTCCAGCCGACTGTGTGTGAACACAGTAGTCCCGGTCTGCCTGGGCCGCTGCGGTAGACGGCCGCAGCTCGGGCTGCTCAGAAGCGGCGGAACTGCACTTCTCTTGGTTCTGGGGGCTGGGCGGCCTGAGGCCAAAGCGCTGGCACATTCGGGTTCTGGGGAGGGCCTGCTTCCCTGTTTACAGGGGCGCCTTCTCCCCGGTTCTCAAGCGGCGGGCGGGCTGGGGGCTCTCGGGACCCCATTTGTAAGGGTGCTCACCCCGCCGTGCAGCCCCGCCCTGCTGACCTCCGCCTCCAGAGGCTGCCCCGCTGTAGGCTGCCCGTGAAACACACCCGTGGAGTCTGTAGGCCATGGGTCTATGTGTTGTGTGTAATGCTTTGCTAAGATTGTATACTTCATGCACAGGCCTTAGATTTATCAGCAGAGTCTTGCATTTTATGTGTTATCTTACATCTTATTGGTGATATTTAGCTTTTGTGACTTAATAGGTAGAATATGATTTTTTTGCAATTTTAAACCCCCCAGTATGTTACTTGTAAATAAGTAACATTTTTCGTATTTGTGACTAGCATAAACTTTATTTGAATATTGAACTGTACTTTTACACATTTTTAAATATTTTTATATAGGAGTTTATAATTTGTACCATACATTAAAGTAATTCCATCTATGATTTTCTGTTTATAGAGCAGTCCTATTTTTACTTTGAAATATTAGAAAGCAGATGCCATCCTCTGTCCTGGTGGTTGGGAGGAAATACACCCTATTTGCTTTCAGTCCTGAGCTTCTGCCAGTCGACCTGCTTTCCCCTCTGGTTGATCTGCTGCTCTTGGTCAGAGAACCCGCAGCTGCAGATCGTGGAGACGCTGTCCCTTCGGAGCCCGCGGTGCTGGCTGGGTGCGGCGCCCGGAGCTCTGTTTTCAACCACGGCTGGAGTCAGTGTGTGTTTATAAGGCCTGAGATAACTTTTCACCAGTTGAGGTTTGTCTTTGTATCCGTTAACGGATATAATGATTTAGTTCTGAGCTCCACTCTCATTGGCTCCTTCCTTTGGACTGTCGCCCTGTCTAGTTCCCAGAGCGTCACAGTCAGCCTGAAAACCACGCCTGGCATGGTCGCCCCCTACGAGCTGTCGGACAGCACGCGCGACCGGCCCGGAGAGCAGGAGCCCGCGTACGAGCACGGAGAGGACGGCCTGGGCCGCCCCGAGTCCGACGGGCCCGGGCTGTACGCGCACGAGTACCCGGAGGAGGGGCCGTACGAGGGCCCGGACACCGAGCTGGCCGAGGACCACATGGAGTATGAGGAGGGGCCCGAGGAGGAGCAGCTGTACAGCGACGAGGTGCTGGACATCGAGATCAATGAGCCTCTGGATGAGTTCTCGGTGAGTCCTTCCCCTTTGTCCGCCAGAGATAACGGGCTGCCGGGCGCTGGCTTCTAGGCGGGTCTGCGCTCCCCCTCCCTCCCTCCCTCCCTCGGGAGGGGGCGGAATTAGACCTTATTATCGCTGTCTGCCAGTTTCTTTATCAGAGCTACGACAAAGTTTGTGTTGACAGCTTGTTTGGCTGGAGGTGATGCTCCTTTGTCGCTCTGGAAGGCTGCAGGAACGGCGACCTTGAAGAGCGCGCCCCGAGGAGGCCACGGCTTTGTGTGGCGGAGACGCACTGTCAGTTGCCAGCAGTGCTTAATGTGGCGCTTTCATCCGGCTTTAGACAGGATCTGATAAAGTCCTTCGAAGGTGAAAAGATTATTGACCTGCTAAAGACATCTTTGCGGAGCTAATATTCCGCAGTGATTGATGTCCTGCTCATTCACCCTTTCTGTAACCGAGACCTGTCCGGCCTTGAATAAAGAGATGGGAGGTCAGTTTAGGAAATGTCACACGGAATTTGTTATCTGTGATCAGGAGGTGGAGATTGTGCTGATTTTTATTTCAGAAAGGTGATCTTCAGAGTCATTTTCTTTTTTTAAGTCGAAGTATCAACCGAGAAAAAGGTGCTCAGGAGGAAGGGGTGGTTCATCTGTCTGCAGTGATTTCATCACCTAAAGAGATTTTTCCCCCTGCTTTTACTTGTACGAGTATTTCTTTTATGCCGTATTTATGCCCCGGCCACATGCTTTTGTTTCTCCAGTTTCTTCTGGGATGTCTTTTTCTTCTGTGCAGCCCCTCTTCTGGGCTGGGAACAAGCTGCTCTTTCTCAGTAGGAGCATCTCGGGTGGGGACAGCGCGTGGGCGGGCGAAGCGCCCAGGGCGCTGTAAGTTCTGCACGTGTCTCGGGGGCTTCGTTCACCTGGATGTGCTCAGAGGATGTACATGTGGACCCTCCGGTTCGGCCCGACCCTCTGCACTGTCAGACATGGGCAGTAGAAACAGTGTTGGGCCACCGACCCGGGGTCCAGCTCCACCGTCGGCCTGGGCTCACCTACCGCCTCCACCCTTGTACCGATGGAACAGGACACGCTGCTTCTCTCCAGTGACAGCTTTCAGATACTTGGTGGCTTTAGGATGTGCACACCTCGACGGCCTGGGCAGCCTCACGAGTGTTCCTAAGGTGAACACGAAGATTCGAGCCTCTTGATTGGCATGACTTTGTGGGGTTTTCTGGGTCAAGTGAATAGTGAAGCACTTGCAGAGGTCACCTCTGGTTGCTCTGGGAAGAGAAAGAAAAAGAGGCTTGTTTTTAAAGCCAAGCACTTAATGAGGTTTACGTGGGAAGGGTGCGGCCCCCCACGGCTGCAGCGGGGTCTTGGGGTTTCAGGACGTGGGAGTTGCACAGAGGGGCAGGGGCCGGGGCAGCGGGCAGGTGGGCGGGCACACAGGGCCTCCCCCTCGTTCCCTGCGCGCTCGTTCCGAGGAGGCTTGCATGGAAGAGAAAAGGGCAAAAATTGCCGGGTTTTGGCCAGTGAGATCCATAGGCGAGTACGTCTGTAATTTCAAAAGGGGCTGTTCCTGCGGAACCACAGACCGCAGTGCAGTCGTGACTGTGTTTGATGTGTCGGTAGTTAGTGTGAGGGTCTGATTCTTTGCGAGTGCTTTCTGTTCTGTAGGTCTAGTGAGAGAGAGGTTTGGGGTTTTGGGAAGTGGAGTCATGCAGAAGGCGCCCTGGGCACTTGTTCTTGGGCAGCGTGGGCAGCCCCGCAGCGGCTGGCCGAGGCCGTCCCCCTGGAGTGTGGGCAGGCGCTTGGGTGGCTGGGGTGTGTTGTGTGCCCTCTTACGTGCGGGGCGCTGTTGAGACCGCTTCTGAAGGCCAAGCCCCAGTCTTTTAAAACTGCCCAGTTACTCCCTGGCTGCCGCGTCTTATTCTTCCCGCTGCTCGTCAGCAGATGCGATGATTGGCTGGCCGGCTGCGTCTGGTCCTCTCTATCGGGACGTCGGGAGCTCGGCACATGCTCACTGATGCCCAGGCCCTGGGGACACAGATTCCGCTCAGACACGAGGCCTGGCCCCTGCCTTCCGGGGGGGGGCCGGGCGCCGTGGGAGGAGACGCGACACACGATCCTGCGCGACCACACGGGAGGGCGCCATGCTGGTGGCGCTCCGGCAGGGTCTGTGGTGAAGGCAGTGTCCAGTGCGCGAGGCGGGCCCCTCTGTCCCGTTGTCACGCTGGAGGTGACTAGGCCCGGGCTGTGTAAATCCAACTGAATTATCCAGCGTTTTGTGGTCTAGACAGAGGCATCAGAAGAAAAATACAGCCCTTTTCCACATTAAAATGAACTAATTTTCTTCCAGAATTGAACAGAATTACTTAGGAATCTGAACGCGTCCTGCTGTTTCACAGAGTCAGCAGCGCTCAGGATGTGGCTCAGTTGGCTGCCCTCCTGGGAGTGGAGTCGGCTCGCCCCAGTGCACGGCGCTCTAGCCACGGTCCCTCTTTCCTTTGTCCTGTGTCCCTGCGACTGCTGATGGGTGTCTCTGTAGTTCCCAGTGGCAGCCCCTGGCCCCCCGTCCTGAGGATGGGAGGCGGTCTGGGGCCTGACCTGTGCAGCCCTCCCCGCAGCCCTGGGGCCAGGCCTCCTTCCTCGTGTCTGGGTGTCAGGGCGCCGGGGGGGCGGGGGCGGCACGGCAGCAGGCCGTACGCCTGGGTGGGCCGGGCTGCTAGACAGCGCGTGGCGGCGGCTCCTGCCCCGGGCTGCCGGCCACACTCTGCAGCGTGGGCTGTGCGTGTGTGCTGTGCCCTCAAGTCCGCTCTGGCAGCCACCGAGAGGGCTGTGTGTCGCTGGGGGTCGACGCCAACTGCAGAACTAGGCCTGCATCGGGGAATACCCCGGCGTTCTCCCTGGTTATGCTCAAAGACAAGAAGGTCCCTGAGTCTTGGGCATTTTGCTGGTCCTGTTCTTGAGGGTGAATTGGGATTTGATGTACAAATTTGTACTTAGAAAGGAGATTATTTGTCAGGTGATTTATGCTTTAAGCACAATCAGTTTACTTCAGGCCTTTAAAATGAACACAGTGCACCCTGGCTGGGTGGCTCCTTTGGTTGGAGCGTCGTTCCACAACCCATAGGTTGTGGGTTCAACGCCCCGTCTGGGCACGTACGAGAGGCAGCCGCCTGAGGTTTCCCTCTCCCTTCCTTCCTCCCTTCCTCTCTCTCTAAAAGGAATGAAACAATGTCCGTGGGTGAGGAAAAAGTTGATGCAGCGAAGTTTCATGAAGTGTTGTTCTGAGAAAGTGGTTTCAGGCTGGTGCGCTGTGCCCAGGGCAGCGGGTCAGGCTCAGCGAGAGCCCGGGGTGCCTGTCGGCTGGGCGAGGCTGCCCAGCAGCGCCTGGCCGCGTTCGCCCTGCCTTCAGGCGCGTGGGTGCCGGCCCTTGGCCCTGGACCATCTGTTCAAGGCGGAGCGGCGGCTCTCCCTCTCTTCGCGCTGCACGGGAGGCCGTCCCCACACCACGCTGGCCGCTCCCTGTGCCGCCCCGCAACTGCCCAGTGTTCGTTTTCAGCAGGAGGCCGGGGGTGCGGGAAGTCCAACCCCCATGGCAGGGTCCAGGCTTCTTGTCACGTGTTAGGGACACTTGCAGGAGCCCTTCTTCCCCTCTGGGCCTGGTCACCTCCTCCCGTGGGCCCTCCAGGCCCCCTGCCTGCTGACAGCCCCCGGCGTCTCGCACAGATCCCGCAGCCTCTCATCGCGGAGGGGCTGGGGGCACGGCCACGGCTGGCCTGCGGTGCTCGAGACAGTCCTGTGTTGGGCCTGACTGCCCTTCCCTCATCCTCTGTGGCTGTTGTAGGGCTTCGGAGCAGCCGAAGCCCGGCCTCCCTGCTCCCTGGGCGCACGTGCAGGGCCCTGGGGGTCGGGAGCAGAGCCCGCCTGCCCTCAGCAGCTGGGTGGGCCGCTGCTCTGTTCTCCTCAGCACGGTGCGGGGGGTGGGGGGCGCGGGGACTGACTGCCGTGGCCACGTTGGCTGAGAACCGGTCAGGCGTGAGTCACACGGTGGAAAGTGCTGAGAAACCCCCAAGAGCTGTATGCATAGTTACCATATGGAAATTATTTTACACATCCGTTTGCAGCTGTATCTTTTCCCTTGGTAGTGACTAGGAGCAGAATGACCGAGGCGGGGAGAAGTATGTTCAGTTCTATACAGAATCACTCCATGGCTCTCCAGAGTGACCGTTTGTCCCCTCCTCTCACCAGTCTGTGCGAGCATCTCAGTTCTCTGCCCTGTGATGTTGTTAGTTTTTTCCATTTGGTATTTCTGGTGGGTGTGTTGTCACGGTCTGAGTTTGTTTTCTCTGATAACTGATGGTGTTTGGTACCTTTCCATATGCTGGACTTACATATCTTCTCTGTGTCCGTTTTTAGTCTCTTTAAAAAGTATGATGTCTTTTTAATTTCTTTCTGTATATACCGTATGTAGTCTACACAGAACGTAAGTACTACCTGTACCTACACATACTCTGTGCATACTGCTGTGTAGATTGCAGCGTCTGTATATTCCGAACACACGGCCATTGGCAGACACATATAACGAACGTTCCCTCTGAGCCTGTGGCTTGTGTTTTAATTTTCTTGAAGGTATTTTTTCATGAGCAGAAAATTTTGATTTTCATGGACACTCATTTTGTGATCTGAGAGATCTTTGCCTGCTCCAAAGTTGCGGAGGTAACCTCCTGTATTTTCTTCCGGAAGCTTTGCGGTGTTGGCTGTTTTTGGCTTAGGTCCACACTCCGTCTCAGCTAGGGAGTGTGCGTGTGGCATGGGATTCCCTGTTCTCTGCGTGTCTGTTAACTGTTGTGCCGGTGTTGGTTGTGAAGACTTTCCCTTCCCATGGGGTTGGTTGCCTTAGCCCAGCGCTCCTGCGGAGGGTGAGCGGACCGGTTAAGTTTGCATCTCTCTCCAGAACCCCTGGTGTGTCCCCGCCAGGGCTGCGCTGTCTTCATTGCTGCGGCCTGGCACCGGGTGGTGCGGGCCCGCCAGTCCCCTTCCCCTTTCCAGGGCTGTGTGGCCTTTTCTGGGACCTTTGTATTTCCACTCCGCTTCTGCAGTCAGCTTGTCGGTGTCCACTGTAGGCGGCTTGGCTTTCCGTGAAGAGCGCATCGTGTCTTCGGATCGCAGCGGGGAGAGACCGAGGACCACGCTGCCTGTCACCAGTTTCGCCTTTCATTCCAACCTGTCCTCTTCCTTTCTTCCTTTTGCCTCCCTGACCTCGCACTTGAGGTGTCTGTTCTGGGCTCGGTCTTGGTCGTAGCGGGTGTTTGGCGCAGGACGATGCAGAGGGTCAGCGCTCTGACCCCCGCCGTGCCTGGAGCCCACTGTGCTCGTTTCTGAGAGACCACGCCCAGCTTGTGGGGCCTCGTCAGGCTTCTCAGGTGGAGACAGGACGCAGGACAAGCTGCGGTGGGTTTGGGGCTGCCGTGTGTCGCACTCCGCTTGTGCGGGAAGTCTTTGAGTGGGCGTTGGCTGCAAGTGCTTGGATGGGGCATGGCTGTTGGGATGGTGTTTGCTTTGCTTTATCACGTCCTCCCCTTCTCTGGGGCCTTTCTGCTCAGAGCGCAGTCTGGACCCGCACGCGGGCTGCCCCTCGCGCTTGCGTGCAGTGCAGAGCCTCAGGCCCCCCGCCGGCCCGTGGGCGTCAGAGTCAGTGCTGTGCGGGACGGTGTGTGGCGGGGTCGGGGCGGGGGGCCGCTTCCTGCGTGAGCAGTGGACAGCACGCGCCTGGCTGGGTCCACCTTGTGTGTCACTCGTTGTGACGGTGGCTGTTGAATGGGACGCAGATCGTGGTGTCAGGCCCCCGAGAGGCCCAGCTCTCGGCGCTGCAGCGCAGCGCCCCGGGCCTGGGCACGGGGGTCCTGCTGCAGCCACCAGGCCCCGGCTGAAGTGACAGTTCACATTCATCGTTCTATTTTCAACGTTTGTGCGCCTGCAGACGTGTCTCTGCTTGTAGGGTTTATAGCGACAGGTGTTTGCGTTTGTAGCTGGTCTCCTTACACAGTAAGTTTGGGGAAAGAATGTGGAGCGGCTGCGTTTTGAGTGTGATTTTCTGTGTTCATTTGCGAGTAAAGCAGGTCATTTTCTGTTCTATTTTGAGTAAAGGACACTTAAAATTATAAATTATGAAAGTGGACAATTTTTTAGAGTTTATGAAAAGTACTTACATGAACCTAGCGCTCAGGAGGTATCTGTCGAACAGTAAGACCTAACATGAGGGGAAAGGGATGGGTGTCGAAAGCACACGAGCGATTTGGGCAGGGAGAATTGTTGATGGAGAAGAGCGGTTATCGCGGGACTGGGGCAGGCGGGGCTGGTGTCGAGACAGGGATGTAGCAGAATGGGCTGTGACGCACAGGCCGGGCTCCGTGAGAAGCCGTGGTGACTGGGCGACAGGGCCGGCGGCTGACGCGGGGCCGGAGCAGCTGCAGACCGGCCGAGGGCTGGGGGCGACGAAGGGAAGACTTGGGAGGCTGCACACAAGCCAGCCCTGCGTGCTGGCCTGGCAGCGGAAGTTGGAGGGGCCGGGTCGGCAGTGACGTGTGTAACGGGAAGGCCTGTGCTGTCACCTGATGTGAGGAGGTGACGAGGTGGGTCGCACGCTGGGGAGGGAGCCCGTGGAACTCTAGTGCTCATTTAGTTAACATGTCAGCCTCTGCGAGAGCCTGGATCAACTCCAGGCTGGCATCTAAAGTGTGATCAGCAACATGCAGGAATGTCATCTTTTTAAATTTTTACTTACTTTTTAAAATTTTTAAAAAAGACTTTATTTATTTTTAGAGAAGGGAAGACAGGGAGAGAAATATGAATGTGTGGTTGCATTTTGCACGCCCTCTGCTGGGACCTGGCCTGGAACTTAGGCCTGTGCCCTGACTGGGAATTGAACCTGTGACCTTTTGGTTCGTAGGCTGGCACTCAGTCCGCTGAGCCACACCAGCCCAGGCCTTGTTTTTTTTTTTTTTTTTAACAGTAAGTTAATTTTTAATGTCTGAGATTATTTTCTCCAAATCAGTTCAGTGTTTCGCATGGGCTATAGTGTGCGGTGTTTTTACATCTTAAATGTAAAGGACTTATATTCTCCCACCTTTAATTCAAGAGTAGATGAACTCACTCTTTTCCCCCCTTGTTTTGTGTGTCTGCAATGCAGGGGGGCATGGAGACTTTGGAACTGCAGAAGGAAATAAAAGAAGAATCAGACGAAGAAGATGATGAGGATGAAGAATCTGGACGATTACGTTTCAAAACTGAAAGGAAAGAAGGAACAATTATTAGGCTCTCAGATGTAACTCGAGAGAGAAGGAACATTCCAGAAACTTTGGGTAACTCTTTTTTCCTGCCTCTCCTCTGCCCTCACCCCACCCCGGCCTCTCCCGTAGCACGAGCAGCAGTCGCGCCGGCGGAGGCAGGCTGGCCTTCTAGAGCGCCAGGCGGGCCGGCAGAGGGCGGTGCTGCCCTGGGCATTCTGTCGAAGCGCCAGGCGACTTGTCGGGGGGTGGACTCGGCTGACTCATACTCTGAGCAGACCCCGCCACTGGGGACCGACAGCAGGCTGTCACGGTCAGCGGCTGTTTTCAGGGCAGCCCCCCACCCGCACGGCCTCTCTCGGCGTCCGCAGCAGAGAGCAGAGCCAGCACCTGCACCTGGGGGGGCTTGTGGGCCCGGATTGCTGGGCCCCTCCCTGCTCTTCTGCTTCAGAGGAGGGGGCGGGCTGGGGCAGGGGGCACTCCGGGTTCCAGACCGCGCTCTGATGGCTGCGGGGATGTGGCATCTTATTCCGAGGAGAGGGGGAGGGTTGTGCCTGCTCTCTGGTCTTGGTCAAAGTAACAGTCAAGAAACTAACTCTTAGTTACTACCTTTATTCTCAAAGGCGTTATTTGTAGCCATTTGTGGTCAGATGCGTGAACACATGTCGGAGTGGCGGGCGTGGTTCTCCGTGAGGACGCGAGGCCCCTGAGACACACAGGTGAACGGTGGCGGGCCAGTTGCGTCCCGCTCCTTTGCCAGTGACCTTCGTGGGGAGATGGTTCTAGAGCATTCTCCAGCTCTTCCCCAGACAGTTTCTTCCCTCTCTACCTTGTGACCCAGGATATCCCAAGACGTTTCTCAAGTCAGGTATCACGTTGCCCGTCCAGGACAGTAAGAGTTCTAAGGAAGAGGATTTGAGGCTGGTCTTGGGTAACAGGAGGTGAGGTAGGGGTCTGAACGTGGGGGAAACCAAAGGCGCCTTTCAGTTCCTCAGGAGACGTGGCGATACACAGAAGGCCCTGGGGGCTTCCCGTGGTGCCCAGTCGAGAGGGGCTTCTAGCCGTGGGAGAGGGTCATTGTCCCCATCCCTGAAGTGTCAGCGCAGAAGCTCTGAGCCCCGGGCCCGTGGCCCTGGCGGCGGCCTCGGCCCTCTCTGCGGGAGCGCCCACCCTCTGGAAAGGCTGCGCCTGCTGCGGTTCAGCTGCTTTTCATGGCCTATGAGCGGGCCTTTAGATTTTGGGATATTCTGAGTTTCATTGGCACATCCGTTATGTTTAATTATGTTTTATTGCTTTAGCCGAAAGGAAATGCCGCGATGCATGATGTTCACTGTGAATACTTGGTTTAATTTGGTGGAAGGTGTAGGACAGGGCGGCGGAGGGGCGTCCCCGGGGCGTGAGCAGTCCCAGGCTGCATGTGCCGTCCGCGCCGCGTCCTCGGTTCGCAGGCCCGGCGCGCGTGTCTTGAGTCAGTCACCCTTTAAAAAACCCAGGCTGTCGTTTGTTCTTTGTATGTCATCAGATGAACTGTGTATTCTGTAAATACTTATTCATTTTGTATTAATCCAACTATTATGCAATTATTTGTATGTAAATATGCTTTCCTGAAGCACATTTTAGGAAGGGACTCTACAGTGTAAAACTTCGTTACAGTGAGCTGTATCTCTTTAGAGTCTGGACATAGTTCAGAAAACACTTAAAGGGAAATTAACATTTCAGCTGAAGTTACAAATGTAATTTCCATCCTGTCATATTTTAGTGACCTTTTGTGACAGCTTGTCTCAATTGGAGGAAAGCATTTTTACTTGCTGATTAAAGATGTCATTTGAAACCATTTTATTACTGGGGATAGTGAAATTAATCTTGACACTTGGAGCCCCTAGAAAAATAATTGCTGATTCACCACATAAAAAGTATATGTGAACCAATCATGTAGTCAAGATTAGAGTAAAAGTCTGTGCTTGTTAAGAAGAGATTAAATTTTCCTTCGAACGGGGCCTTGATTCATTTGAAGGGGAGGGGTCGCCATAGAAACCGTTTCAAGGCGGTGGAACGGGGCTTGGCGACTGTGGCAGGGTTTTGGGGTGCCTGTGGGACCCGAGGGAGGGGTGCGCCGGCGGCCCTCGGGCCGCAGCCTTCGCTGTGCAGGGAGCCGCCTGGGCGCAGCTCCGGGGGGGCTGCGGCTCTGAGGGCCCGGGTCGAGCCCGGCAGCTTTTTCCTCTTAGGGACTTAGAAGAACGTGCCACCTGAGGTTCCCGGAGGGCCGAGTCCCTGTGTTCGTGTCCCTGAAGCGGTCGGGTGCGGGGGGACCCGCCGGGGCCCCACGGGGTGGGTGTCAGCGGGTCGTCTCGGGCGGCGCGCCTCTCCTCTGAGTTGGCTCCTCGTCCGGAGGGCGTGTGTGTGAGTGCACACAGTAAAGAGTTTTTCTTTTCTTTTTTTACAAAACTGAAAATTTGAAATGATGATCGTAGTAAATGCTTTCCATTCTTTATAAAATTAACTGATTACTTGATTTCAGAGTCATTGCATTGATAGTTTTGTTTTAAACACAGAAGAGTCAGGCATTTGCCCTGTTGCATGTCCTTTCCGAGTTGCTGAGCCCCGAGCCTCGGCCAGCAGCACGGGTGTCGGTGTCACCGGGAGAGCCGGGCCAGGGCGAGGCCGGGCGGCTGGGAGAGCAGGGAGTGTGGCAGCCCGTGCCCCGCCGCGGGAGCGCGGTGCTCGCTTCAGCTCCTCTGCACGCGGACGCCCATGGCCCCAAGTGCAGGCGCCTTCCGGTTCGTTCACACAAGAGACACGGGTGTCCCACGGGCAGGGTGCGTCCTCCTTGAGCGGGTCTCACTGGCAGCCCTGGGGCCGCCACAGGGTCCTGCTTGCCCCCGGGTACGGTTTTCCGTTGTGGGGGCAGCCCTGCTGTCGTAGGGCTTTGCTGTCGCGTGTTTCTTCCCTGAGTCCTCCCCGGGAGCCCCCTTCCCACTCTCTGAGTGTTCCTAACATGTGTGCATCTTTTCAAACAGAGCTTTCAGCAGAAGCCAAAGCCGCGCTGCTTGAGTTTGAGGAGAGAGAGCGCCAGCACAAGCAGGGCCGCTACGGGCCGCGGCGCGGCGGAAGGCGAGGCGGCGCTCTGCTGTGCCGCGGGCTGGGGGACCAGAGGAGAGAGAACAGCGAGCGGGGCCGGGCGAAGGACCACAGACCTGCGCTGCTCCCCACGCAGCCTCCCGTCGCGGTAACGTTCCGATTTGATTGAGAGCCTAAAGCGAGAGCCAGTGACAGTAAACTTCCCTGGGCCTGGTGTGTGGTGTCTGGAAGTAAAGTTCAGTAGCAGGAATGACAGCTAACGTTTCTTTATGGTCTGCCGTACAGTCGCACCTGTGGTCTTACAGATCCCACCCCCAGAATAGGGCAGTAAAACCGTTCTGTACGCTGCTGGGGAGGAAGTGCCAGGGAGAGGCACGCCCCCGTAGGGACGGCCCCAGGGGAGCCTTGCCGAGGGCCCGGGCCACCTGTGTCAGCGTTGCTGGGTGCACGGGGTCTCCCTCGTTTGGAATCCACACGAGGCCTTTTGGGGCTGCCGCTCTCCTCCTCGCCCCGAGACCCAGCGCCTGACGAGGCAGGAGCGCCGCAGCGCAGAGGTGCACGGTTGCTCGGAACTCCCTCTAAGCCGCAGCTGTCTGGTACAGCTTGTTACTGTGAACTTATTTCTAACTCGTAACTTTTACAGTTCAGCTGTGTAAATCTGTAGCGTGTCAGTTTACTTTGCTTCTAAGTGTTGATTCCTGTGGTTTCGCCTTCTTTGGTGCTTTCAGACGCACTCTCCAAGATTAATTCCTCCAGCACAGCCTCAGCCGCCGCCGCCGCCGCCACCGCCGCAGCAGCAGCCCATCCGGAGCCTGTTCCAGCAGCAGCCCCTGCAGCCGCTGCTGCCCCTGCAGCACCCCCCGCACCACCCCTCCCCGCCTCAGGGCATGCACGTGCCGCCCCAGCTGGAGGCCCCCCGGGTGATGATGACCCCGCCGCCCGTGACCCCCCAGCAGCCCAAGAACATCCACATAAACCCCCACTTCAAAGGGGCGGTGGTGACGCCCGTCCAAGGTACGTGTCTCCTGTGCTGCCGGGAAGTCCCAGGCTCCTGTGGCCGAAGCCCGGTCGCGTTCAGGTCTGCAGGGACGGCTTGGCTCTGGACACCGTCCCTGGCTGCTCAGGCCCCTGCCGCGTCCCGGGCCGGGCTCATTGCTGAAAAGCGTCTGTCTGTGCTTAGGGCTGGGGGGAAGCAGTGAGGCGAGAGGGCAGCAGAGGCGCGGAGAGGCAGCGGTGGGTGCCCAGGAGTGCCCTGGGAGGAGCGTTTGAGCGTCCCCTCGCGTCCCGCTCAGGCGCAGGCCGGGGGCAGGGCCTCCTCCATGCGTGAGTTCAGGGCGATGCCTCTCGCCTCACTGCGAAGTCAAGGTGGGAGGCGCCTGGTGCGGGGCGCGCGGGGGCCGGCAGCGCGGGGACAGCGGGGTGGGAACAGCACTGCGGCCAGGAGGGGGCCCCACCTCCAGAGTGGGGCAGGCCGAGGGTGAGGTAGCCTCGTCCCAGGACACCCTGGTTTCGATGAGAGCCAGATGGGGGCGGGCTGAGGCCGGCGTGGCGCACGGGGGCTGTGGCTGTGGACTTGCCAAGGTGCGGCTGAGAAGTGTTGGAACTCGGGGGGGACACCGAGGACAGGACCTGGAGTGGGGCGGGCGGGTGGGCAGCCTGGAGCAAGGCTGTGCCAGGGCCTCAGAGAAAGGGCCGGGGCCGTGGGAGGGCGGGGTGGCAGCGTCCTTGTGTCAGTATGGGAGACTGCTCTTGTTTGACACGCATGAAGGGCCGAGGGGGGGTCAGTGCTGTGGGTCCCTGACCCCTGGCAGACCCCGTCGTCTGAATCCACCCTGTGTTAGAGTCACGCAGCGACCTCCTTGTCTCCCGGGGCTCCGCGTCCCCGGGCCAGGCAGGGAAGCAGCCCACGTGGCTAGTGTACCACGCCGCCGGTGCTCCTGCGGCAACCGTAGGGGACAGGACCGGTACCTGCTGGCGGATGGGAGAAGGGCGTGTGGGAGTCACCCTGCCCGCGGCGGCCATCCAGGACGTGCGCCTGCAGGAAGTCCAGTTTGTGGGAACGCCCTCGCTGATGGCAGCATCTGCCAGTGCGAGTCCCTCACGCAGGCGCAGGGGAAGCAGGCAGTGGTCAGGTGCACACACCTCTGCTGCCGGGCAGCTAGGAGGCGGCGGGACATGCAGAGCGGGTGCTTGCTCTGAGCAGACCCCCAGGAACCCTGCAGGCGCAAAGGCCTGCGCCGTGCTGAGAGCCAGCGGCCTTCCACACTGTAGGTGGGCGTTGCGGTGAGGACAGCCAGCCTAAGACAGTGGCCTCAGGCTCAGAGCCAGCTCAGTGGTTTACAGCGTGAGGCCGGTGCTCAGTGCCGCACGGTCCTTTCCCGGGCGCCCCGTGGATCTCAAGGTCTGTGGGTGCAGGAGAGCGAGCTGCGGGAGGGAGGCTGTGCGCCGGGAGAGCCGGGTGAGCCGGGTGAGCCTGCAGTCTCGGAGCCCTGGGTGGGTAGAAGGCGCAGTGGCAGCCGCTCGTGAGAGCCGGCGCGTTGGCGCGCCCTTCCTTGTGGCGCGTGCTTCGTTTCCGAGTTCAAGGATGAGTGTTCCCTGAGGTGACCCCTGGCAGAAATGCCACGTGTTCTTCAGACGCTCACTGTTATAGCTGTTGCAGTGAGTCGAAAGCCAGTCTAGTCCATTAACTACACGGGACAATAAGATACAAGTGAAATAGCAAAGGTTTAGAGTCAAGGTTCAGCGGGCGTGGCCTGTTAACAAGCTTTAAGTCCTCTGAGAGGAGGGCATGTGCTCCCGCCCACAGACGGGCTCTCTGCGGGGCCAGGCTGCCAGGCGCCCCTGGCCGGCTAGATCTGCATCTGCCCCTTCAGGCCTGGTCTCACATGCTCTTGCCGACTTTAATTGTTTCTCTTTCTTTTGTTGCTTTTTACAGTTTATTTTTTTTTAAGAAAATGCCAGTGTAAGAAATTTCTTAATTATAGTTGGGTTTTCCCAGGAGATTCCCCTTAGATTTCTTTCTGTCACTTTTGCCAGTTCAAGAGACTTAAAATTTTTACCTTTTATTGTACTGGGATTATTTGATAGGCATTGAGTTTAAATCTAAGTTTAAAAATACATGGCATGTAGTCTTTAAGGTCTGGGAATTTCATTTTTGGTTTGTGGTTTTAAAAATGCTGTCTGTGTTTTTTTCTTTCCTCTCTTCTGATAATCTATTGAGGTCAGAGATACTCTAGTATTTTTTTCTTTCTCTGCTGTTTGCGCTGTTGCTCTGCTCCAGATGCGCAGCCGCTGTGCCCAGCGCCTCTTAGCCAGCCATGTAGGGACTTAGGGGCCGGGCACTGCTTTATGACAAGCCTTGCACACTGACTCTTGTTTTGAAATTCTGACTCATTGGATTAGACTCTCCACAGAGCGATGGACTTCTGCCTTTTTTACATTTTATCACAGTTTTTCAGTCTCATTTTGCATTGATCAAGTCATCTCACAGGCTTGTATACACTTGTCACTTTAAATTGGATCTGCAGACGTGTGACATTAATTACAAGGCTTAGTGTATAGAATGTCTTGAGTACTTGTAGCACATACATAAAAAGGACTTGCTTTCAACACTGTCTTTAAAGCACTTTTGATTGACTTTTAAACTGGATCATTTCTGTGTTCTCATTTACCGGAAGTTTCTTTAAAATACGCTGTTTTAGAACAGCACACGATTACTGTCATACTTCCAGCTCACCGGTTACGCCCTCACCCCAGCTGTGGCCCCCCGGTCTGTGCTGTCACCCGCTTTCACGAGGGCGCCCGCCGGTCAGCCTCCGCCCCGGACCTCATTTCACCGTCCTCGCCTCTTTCCCCACGCGCAGTCCCCTTGTGAGCTGCTGGGGTCAGGACTTCGGCATATGAATTTGGAAGGGGCCACAGGGCCGACCACAAGCTGGGCCCCCCGAGCGCTGCCTGGACGCCTGGGCGGCACAGCACAGTGAGAGGCTACACTCGCGCGGGCCTGCCTGCCCGCAGCTCAGGAGCGCCCCCGGTTCTCTGCGGCTGGGCGTCCTGACACGGCGGGGTGGGGGGTGAGACCGCTGCGCACCGCCTCCCTTCAGGAAAGCGGTGCCTGTCCTGGGGTGGGGGGGACGGCGCACGGGGCCTGCTTGGGCAGGGCAGGGCAGGGCAGGGGGTAGCTCCGTGCCTGCGCCCTGGCCCCTGTGCTCCTCGCCTCCTGCTTCTTGCCCTCGTCCCACACTCTTCGTTCCTGTGCGACTCCTGAGGGTTTAGATTTCTGCTGGGAGGTGCTAGGAGCAGGAAGATGGGACTGGGATTGGAAGGCCTGGGATGTGAAAAACAAGGAGGGGGTTTTGTTGCAAAGTATTCTAACTCTAAGTGGGAATTCACCGGTGACACGTAAGCTCCTGCCTGAGCTACTGCGTGAAGACAGAAGCCCCGCGCACGTGCCCCTCCCCCCCGACGGAAGCGATGCATTTCACGTCGCGCGTGTCACGCGTCTCTCATGTTCGCGGCCTCGCCCAGGCAGCCGGCCGGGCGCGAGCGCAGCGGGTCCGTGACGACCGTGTCTCTCCGCAGTGCCCTTGCTGCCCGTGCCCAGCCAGCCGAGGCCCGCCGTGGGACCCCAGCGATTCCCGGTGAGTAGCGGCCGCTCTTCTGCTCCCAGGCGACGGGCGCACGCCCGCTGGGAAACACCAGTGCAGCACATACAGGTGGGCCCGGCCGAGGGGACGCTGAAAGATCGCAAATACTGACCATGATCTTTGCGGTGGGAGGCGTTTGTTAAAGCCTTAAGGTCGGTGGGTTTTTGAGAAGGGAATGAGTTTTGTTTCACTGTGAAACTGTTGCGCGGGGACCGTCAGCGGCATGCCTTTCATCTTAAACAACGGGGTCTGGCCTTTGCTGTTGCCCGTGTGGAGGGAGGTGGCCCGCTTTGTGCCAGTGGTGCCCGTGCGCGTGGGTGGGCGTGTGGGTGCCATCCAGGGAGTGTGACGAGGTCTCTGCTTGTTTTTAAAAGAGCCTCAGAGTCTTAATGACAATTGGTTTTCTTTTTTAAAAGGAAGGTTTTCTCTTTAAAATATCTTTAAAAGAAAGCACACATTCTCCCCTTCTACACACACTTTCTTGTGCTTTCCATAAATACTCATTCTAACATGTCTCAAAGAAGAAAGATGTCCACTAAATAGTTGTATCTGTTTATGTAAATTTTGCTTGAGTTTTTGGGTCAATTTGTAATTGGTTCATGGTTTATTAAATCCATGAGGACATGTTCTTTTTAAAAACAATGCTGGAAAAAATGGACCAGACCATAAGCTTTTAGTGAGGTTTGTGTGTAAAACAAGTGCAGTCTGGCCGAGGCTGGCCAGCCTGACGCTCAGGACCTGCCTAGAAGTGGCTCCAGCTTTGGTGCTTCAGCGGCTGTGTGTGTGGGTGGCATCTAGCAAAAGGTTTCAATGACAGGTCTAGGTGTATTGTATTGTCAGGTGATTATTCAAAAATAAAATCAGTGGTGGATTTAAGGTTTGGCGTTTTTTAGAAACTTCCTCAATTAGTAGTAATTATTTGTGAATTAATATGGTTTCTAAAACTGATTTTTATTGATTTCATTTCCTTACATTAGCTAATTTTTTTCTTTAAATTACTCTTCAAGTTTTAAAAACTAATTATTTTTAAAAAGTTAGGTGATACTTATTCAGTACAGTTCTCACGCACCGCGTCCGTCTCAGCAGGCAAGGCCGTGACTGACGTTTCCCCAGCCGGGCTGGGCTCATGCGTGTTCAGGCAGCGGCGCGCTTCCCCCGGGGGTGGGGGACTGCTGGGGGCCGTGGGTTCTAACGGCCTCAGTCTCGCCATGTCTCGGACCATGGGTGACTGTGGGCGGGTCGTCACTGGACCTCCCAAACTGTGCATCGAAGGGAAAAACTTGACATGAAAAAGCAATTGTAGTTGGAGAGAAACAAAGTAATGTGTGTACCTGATATTTTTGCAAAAATGCGTTCACTAAGATAAGATTAGAAGAGCCATTTGCAGTTGTCACCTACCTGTGCTTTCCAGCCGGGCAAGGGTGACGACCGGGGGCGGGCAGCCTGGGGCGCGAGGGCGCGACAGGGGGCCGGAGAGCGCCAGCCCTGCTTCGGGCTGCGTGGGGCCCGGGGCAGCGTGTGGCCGCTGCTGCCAGGGGTGGTGTTCTGTGCTGCTGCCCGTGAGCTGGGGAGTGCGCGCGGGCGACGGGACACAGGGGCACGAGGTGGCCCTCGCGGGGGTGACGGCGTCCCCTGGGGAGCGCTTTCTTCAGCCCCGATGCTTCTTCAGCACGTGCCTTCTTCTAAGCCCCAGATGCTAGATCTCCCCCCTGGTTGCGGTGACTTGGGTTCTTGAAAATGCTGTTTAGTTCTGTAATCGGTCTCCCTGGGAGGAGATGATCAGACGTGGACTCTGTGTTGAAAACATGCAACGGAAGTGTTATGCTTTTAAATAGTCCATGAGAGTATTGCCAGGGTTGGGGGTCAGTTCTAGGTCACCTGTTGTTTTACTCACGGAAGATCTTTTTTGGGTAACATTACTTTTCCCTTTTGAACTACTAGATTGAACTTGTTGCTGTCACTGCGGGTGTGGCTCTGTGGCCACGGGGGAGTTTCTCCCTCACGCCAGGCACTTGGCATGGCGCTGCGCCCTCGGCGGTGCAGCGGGCCCACAGTGTGGGAGGGAGCCTGGCCGCGGGCCGCTTCCCCGGGACAGCGCTGTGGGACTAGTGGGCGCCGTGGGACTAGTGGGTGCCATGGGCCATGGCTGCCCAGAGCCCCTGCCGAGGGCCTCCCAGTGGCGGGGGCCCGTGGGCTCAGTCCTGGCGCCGCGGGCCACGTGCCCCAAACCAAGCCTTGCTTTGTAACATGAGTGCACACGCACACGCAGGCACTCACACACACGCACATGCACTCACAGAAACAGGTCAGGAAGCCCAGCTGCAGGCCCGTCGTCGGGTATGTCCGAGGGTTACAGGCCACTGGGGGGAGTCGGTCCCGGCTTGAGCCCTGCCCTGAGCCCCCAGCGCCCCGGTGATGGGGGTGCTCCTGCTAGCAGCCTCGCAGGCTCGCTCATTCCCGCGTGGCAGGCCCGGGCCCCTGGGGAGACCTCCAAGAAGGCCCATTGCCCTGCGCCCGGGGGCGCCCAGACCCCGTGCAGAGGGGCAGGCGGGCAGCCGTGTGCGCGCGCGCATGGGAGCGGGGCGGCGAGCCCTCTGGCTCCATTCGGGGCTCCGTCGGAGCAAGTGGTGCGGACAGGGCACACGTCGCTCGTTTGCTGCTGCTGCTGTCCTTGCCGTGGGTGCCTGTGTGAACTCGGGCGTTGGGCGCCAGAGGGGCCCAGCCCGCCCTGCGGCTGGACAGGTGCGGGCGCAGTCGGTCGTAGCCCTGCCGCACGCTGCTTTTGAGGAAATCCATTTTCTTGGACAGCCCTGAGAACACTTGAGAAATTCTTCCTGGAGAATTCTGATGGGCCCAGAGGTTGTGCTAAGTGGTGTCTCCCCGTTTTAAATGGAAAAACACAGAGATGAGCCAGCCCAACATGAGGCCCGGTCTTTGTGTCCGAGTTCTGCTTCCAGTTCCCAGTGTGGGTTATTTTACTCATTGATCTACTGGGTTCACTTTCCACAAAGGCTCTTCCTGGTGTTTTTGTTCTGAATGTAAAGTCCTTCCTTTATGTATACTTCCCAGTTATGTGTTTGTCCTCAAAGAGATGTTTGTTGTTTTTAAAGTTCACCCACCTAAAGAAGTAGCATTAAAATCTCGATTCATGGTATCAGGAAGTGTGGCTTGGAGACGCCACTAGCCCAGGTGGTGTATTTCATTGGTGGCCAGTTAAATACTAAGTAGTTTGGCTGCTGAATAATTTCTTACTGGTCTTTGTTTAAATGAAAAGTAAAAAGAAAGTGTTTCATGCTGAGGAAGACTTTCCAGCTCAGTCCGTCTGCTCGCTCATTGCGTTGCTGCTGAGGTGGGCCCAGCGCTCACAGGCAGGTCGGACTGCAGTCTTTGTGGTGTCCCTGTGCGGTGTGCGTGGGTGTGAGCGTGGGGGCTGCGTGGGACCAGGCGGTGGTGACCGGCAGCTCCTGGACGCATTCTGGGTGGCGGCTCACACAAACCGTGCGTGGTCCGTGCAGCCGGGAGCCCGGCCTCCTCCTCTCCGGGGCGGTCTCCCCTTGGGGCCTGCCCTGCTGTTCCATCCGGCCCGCAGCGCCTCCTGCCTGTCAGCGCTGGCAGCGGAGAAGGGGCGCGTGGCGCCATGGCGCATCCGGGGCAGCGCAGCGAGTGCCGGGCGAGGCCCGCCAGCTGCCAGGCGGCGTCAGGCTCGCGCGGAGCGGATGCGGTTTAAAATGCAGGTGACACACTCCCCACCATCCCCCATTTGCCGGTGGGTTTCTGATTAATGATGATTAGCATATATTATCATACCATCAAATTTAATCACATCACTGGATCCCCATCTGCAGTAGGAAGAGGAGCAGCCAAACACTGCGCGGCACGGATGACACGCGGCGCTTAGAGACCGCTGCGCCCCGTCGATGGGACTTGGGCCCTGTCAGCCCGTGCGGGGTGCTGGTGGGGAGAGGGCAGGGCCCTTGGAGGCCGGGGGTGCCTGTGGGAGTTGCGGGGTGGGTCCTGCACTGCCACTGAGCCGTTCGGGCCCGTGGCAGACGTTGCATTGTGAAACGTTTGGTGAACTCCTTTGTTTACTGTTTGGCTAAATAAGTAAAACTGTCACGCTGAAACAGAAACCTTTCACAGATCCTGCTCGGGCCTGCGTGCTGGGCAGAGCGGGCTTAGACTTGGCGCGCATCGTGCCCCTGCGTCCGGTAGCTCGCCCAGTGAAATGCGGACGGCGCCGCATTTCAGAGCCTCAGAGCTCCTATCGGTCCTAGTGGTGTGCCTGCAAAGCGCATCAGCCATTTTTTAATATTTATTTTCCCAGAGGTTTTGAAGACCCGTGTTTAGATTAATTTTTAAGATGAACTTTGAAAGAGGCCCTGTTCTATAATAAAACACCTGAAAGCACTTCCTCCAAAAGACTAGACTTTTATGTAAAAAATGTAGCCCGATGACAGGTCTGTGGCTTTGAGCAAGCGTGTGCTGTTGTGTCATCAGCACAGCTGAGGGGGCAGCGCTGTCCCCGCACAGCCCTTGACGCCCTTCTGCCATGGTCTGCCCGCCCCCGCCCCAGCGGCGCAGCCCACAGCTCCCGCCCAGGGCTGGGCCCAGCGCTGTGTTGCGCGGGCGGTGCCGCAGGGCGCACGTCCTGCTCCGCCTGCTCCCCCACTCAGCATGGTGCGCTCAGGGCTCCCTCTCACAAGCAGGTGCCCCGCCCATGGCACATCTTTCTTGGCCGGTAGGTGTCGCTCCATTTGCGGGTGTGCTCCCGTTGGTCCGTCCGTTCCCCGCTGGGACACCTCCCCGCTGGGACAGCTCCCCACTGGGACACCGGGATTACTCAGGTCAGAGGCTGCTGTCAGCGCAGCCACTGTAAAGGTGTGGGTCCGGGCGCGTGCAGGCGCGGGCACCTGCAGACAGCCCGGAGTGGGGCTGCGCGTCGTCGGTCGGCCATCCCCGCGGGGGGCTTTCCAGCCAGCATGCTGTGCCCAGTT